ATAAATGTAAGTTATGTATTAAATTAATTTTGATTGTTTTCTTATTATTTATTTTTTTTATTAAATAATTTTTAATTGTTAGTGCCCTCTTCTTCAGAAATCACTGGTAAATCCTCAAATCAAAACCGTCTCGATATTCCAATTCCTTCAATCCCAACTCCTTCAATTCCTAATGTTCTATCTAGTGTAGAACCAGCTGTTTCGGCTGTTAGTAGTGCTATCACCGATGCTGCAAACACTGCTGCAAATACTGCCGGGAATATTGCTGCAGTAGCCTTGGGTTTATTATCTCAGTTATTAAGTGCTTTCGACAATTTTAAACCAAGAAGTCCTACTGCTAACGTTTCAGGGTTTTTCACAATTCCTTATTTAATAGCTTTAATATTTAATGCAATTTCTTTACCTTTATTATATTTTCATTTTACAATTATTGCTGCTTTACTCATATTAACTTCTTCCTTACTTAATATCATTGCTTGTTTTTTTGATCTCTTACTTTTTGTTTGGGTATTTGATCTTATTTCTATTATTCCTGGTATTGGAAGCCAAAATACTGGTCCTGGCATTTATTTGGCTACTATTAGCGCTTCCTTCTTAACTGTTGCTACTATTTTATTATGTATCACTGCTGTCAGGAGCACTAGCTTAAAAAATTTAAGAAGGCAAAGGATCCTATAGGAATGGCCGGATGTATTCACCAAAATTTAGATTTCACAAATTTACATATAATTTTAATTTCACCAGCATCTATAATCGTACCTCGGGTAAACATAATTTTGGTAGAATTAATTTGTAACTTTGGTAAGCACAATTTTGGAATTTGTAACTCTGATAAACATAGAATTAATTTGTAACTGATAGTGTTGGCAAATTACCATAATTTTATGTAATCAATAACTCTATATAATTTTGGTAGAATTAATTCGTAACTTTGGGACGAAAATTTTTAGTGGTGTTGTGACTATATAAAATTAGGTGATATATGAATCATGATCTAATATATGATCAGGTCATTTTGGGTTGTCTTTGGTTATTTTGGTTAATCTGTTCGGATAAAAACTTATAAGTAACTTATAAGTAACTCATAAGCGATTAATCACTTTTAGCCTTAGTAATCACACGATATCATATATATTATTGGCTCAAATTCTATTCAATCTCATCATTCAATCACAAAATTGAAGATTTCCGCCCATATGTAGAATTAATTAGTAACTCTGGTAAACATAATTTTGGTAGAATTAATTCGTAACTTTTGTTTGGTAGAATTAATATATAAGGGTGAGTCAATAGAAATCAAGCAAATTTTTTATAATAAAAATTTTTTATAACTTTAAACAAGAATAACTTAATAAAAAACTTGACCAAATTTAATAAAAATTTTTTTAAATAATTTTTACAAACTTGTAGAATTAATTTAAAAAAATTTTTATTAAATTTGATCAAGTTTTTGTTAAGTTATTCTTGGTTAAAATTTTAAAATAACTTATTAAAAAATATTTGCTTGGTTTCTATTGACTCAACCCATATGGTTACCATGATGGTTATTTTGTAAATTATTATACTTTTATTTTCATAATAAATATACTGTAGTTTTCGCAACAATCTAATTACAGTACCATTCGGAAACATTTTCTTTATTAGAAATTTATGGAAAGATCCATAACAAGGCTAATACTCCTCGATTTATCTAAGAATAAAAATGAGTTATAAGAGACTTGAACAATTGTCTTCTTAGTTTTAACTTTAAAATAATTTTCTTTTAATTTATTAATAACTTTTTATATAAAAAATTACTGTATCAACAATATAATCAATTTCCAAGAATTGAATATTTACGTCTTATTTTTTTTTATTTTTATCAAGCAAATGAAATGCCTAAACCAACCTTTTACATTTAGTCCAAAAAAAAAAATTTTTTTAAAAGGCTAATAGTGTAAATGTGAATTGCAAATTAAATTTTTTTAATTCATCAAACAGGACATAATACATAACATAATATTTGTTTTACTAAAAATTAATAAAGATCGAACTTATATTTCGTGTTGGCAGCCAGAACGGTGTCGACAGAATCTTTCAAGATGAATTCTTTGAGTTTTCAAAAGATAAAGAAAAGAAAGTGATCAAAAATAATCAAGAGTTCATTTTGTTGTCACCGATGCTGCAAATACTGCTGCAAATACTGCCGGGGATATTGCTGCAGTAGCCCCGGGTTTATTATCTCAGTTATTAAGTGCTTCCGACAATTTTAAACCAAGAAGTCCTACTGCTAACGTTTCTGGTTTTTTCACAATTCCTTATTTAATAGCTTTAATATTTAATGTAATTTCTTTACCTTTATTATATTTTCATTTTAC